AAAAATTGTATTCCAGCAAGAGAAAACTCAGAACTCGCTTTGATTGCTTAGCATTTGTTGTGCCAAGAGCTTAATGTTGTTGTCATATCTACACCCCGCCGCCACCCACCACCCACCACCCTGCCCGCTCCCTATTTGTTGTTGGCATTTTCAATTAATTGTGTGCCACTTGCCAAGTTGTTCATGCGCCAAGTGCGCATCAGCAGCAGCGGCAATAAAAAAAGCGCATTTAATCGCAAATCAGCGCCTGAAGTGGGCAACTGCCTCGCCCACTGCCCACACTTTAAAGTGCATAGAATGATTTCATTTTTTCATGCTCAGAATTATTTCCAAGTGGTGGACTTAAATGCGTGGGTCTACATATATATATAAGAGGGGTAAAAGTTTGTGAGATAATATTTTTAAGCCTGTGCTTTCATTCAAAGGTGCTTCAGAACTCACAACTCGAATATTTTGTAAACTAGGCTGCTTTAATTTTGTATGCGGGCTAATGAGAGTTTATATGATTGATATAAATAATAAACTGCGATTTATAGACTGATTTTAATTGGTTTAAAGGCAATTCAGTAATTTATAAAGCTCTAGAGAAAATTAGTCATAAATTGGATATAAACTATCAAAGTATAAAACTTTAAGAAAAACAAGCTTATGTTGATTTTAAAATGGATGTTGAGGAGTTTTTAAGATTTATTATAGTAAATAGTAGAATAGAATGTATAGGTGCAGTCGTGCCTTGAAACTCGGGAACTATTCAAGCCATGCTCCCCAAAATTATATATATATATATATATATCAAGCCTAATATAACTATTTTAAAATCAGTTTAAAGACAATTTAGGACACTATGAAGTTCAATAAATAATATTATTGATATTACGTCAGTAATATCCTATTTATAGGTACAACAAGCAAAAAAGGGCACATTAGCTTGGTGTATATTAATAGATTTATTTGATTTATTCACTTGGAACGTGCCTACGAAAGTTTTCAACGTAATATTAATATCCATTCACTGCATACATTAGCAAATACATTAATGACATTTCATAGATTTACATGGCGTGGGACGCACATCAGAAGGCCTTCAAATCTGATCGGCAGCTGACGCATTTGGTGTGAATTCCCCATGGACACAGTTGCGGTTGTCTGCCACAAACTAGTAAATTAATCAAATGAACTACCTCGGAATGTAATTAACATATACCTCTAACAAACGCGACTGACTAGGGACAACCGGATATATGTGGAGATATGTGGAGATTAATGGCAGGGGGGCTAGAGCTGAATGGCATACAAAAGCTAATTCTGACATACGCAATAAAACGGGGCACAAAAGTTAATAAACCTAAAAGCATGCGACCAATAATGTTTATAAATTTAATTATGTAAATGCGCGACTATAAAAAAATAACGCAAACAAACGAGCAGTGGGAGGCGGCGAGAAGAGGCAGCAGCTGAACATTGAAAAAAAGGCAAAAATTTAATAGATGTCAAGCACAAATTGAAATGCGAATACGAATGCCAAAACAACCAAACAACAAATCTAGTGAAAAAATCGCTCTTTGGATATATATTAAAAACGCGAATGAGCGCAGAAGTTGAATGGGGTAGAGATAGGGGGCTACGACCCCTATTGAACCCATCGCAGAGACACAGCGAGCGAGAGCGAGAGAGAGAAACCTGAAAACTTGATGTGCATATGAAATTAATTAAATTTTTTCGGATTGTCAGGTCGCGTTATGCATTTAATGTCCCTGCTTTATGGCTGTTACCTTCAGAGCAAAAGAGAGCGAGACGGAGAATATATATATATATATACATATATATATATATATATGTGTGTGTGTATATATATAAATGTAGCTGTGCATTTCTGCATTTCCGTTTGGTTATTAGTTTTTCAGCGGCATTTCCGGTATTTTTTATATGCGCTCGTCCACGTGTGTATAGTTTAATGGCCTTGCCTGTGTGTGTGTGTGTGTGGAAATCAAGGCTGGACTTTTTTATTGCTGTTGTCATGTTACTGTCTTCATTTAACTTGCAGCGGTTAATTAAAACAACAATAAAGCCAAAATATGATATGAGCTACATATATGCAAATGTTTAATGGCTACTCTTGACTCTTTAATGCCACAAAAGAGATTTATATGTGTGCGTGGGGTTAAAATATTCAGTTAATTAAATTTATAATATATGGTGTAATAGATCAGACTCTGTTTATTTGCTAAAGTTGCTAGCCAATATAATTATTTCAAACTTTTTCAAAAGTCAGATAACAGACAAATATCGGTTGGCAAGAAATATCCGGTTTTTTCTGCAGAGTCAAACAATTCCTATAGACTGAAATATACATTAAAAGTGCTGATAAATACGTCACTCATTAAAATGAAATCCCTTTTGCTTTTGTACTACTTAATAATATTTAATAATCATGAAACACATTTCATAGCGTACTTTACGGCGTGTGGCCGAGCGAGGTAGAGTTGCCAACATGTGTCGAAATTTAACAGGTAGATGGCATTACGCTTTTACTGCCCGTTGGCTGTAAATTTTATGAGCATATTTCCAATAAATAATACATACACACACATACTCACAGATACTACCACACACTCTCATATGTTATACGGTTTCCAAAAATCAGCAAAAGGGTGGCCACTCAATTATATGGCCTAAAATGGTGGTTTGGCTCCGGGTGCGTTGGCCACGTTTATTACGTAAATGCAATTATGCAACTTTATGCAAGTCTATTTGAATGTTTAACATGTCATTTACATATGAAAGATTTAATGGCAGCGTGCATTGAATTGAAATTGCAAAAACACATGATGGCCATACAGAGCGGGTACTGTCCGCCCGTTTGGTGGGGGAGTGGCGGGGAGGAGTCATACAACAAGCGTAACAAAGAGCCAATTAAAAGGCTAACAGTGTGCGCCCATGGCCCAAAGTTTTTTAATTATAACTTTAAATTCAAAAACATTTAAGCCCAATGCGAATGCAAAACGCATAAAAACTCCTGTTTTGTTGCCCATAAAAGTATGCTATAAAGTCGGATGAATGTGTGTTCGAGCTTGTGTTTGTGTACACACACACACGCGTGACCATTCCGGTAGCTGTCAATGTATTGGCTCTGTAGCAGTAACTGCTAGTTGTACCCTGCAAAAATTAAGGTTTCTGAAAAAGAATACAATTAATACAAATACAATTAATCAATAATAAACTTAGAAGGGGTAATATATACCATAGCTCTATGATATAATGGAATTCTAGCATTACGCACCTGACAGACGGACGCATTAAAAAATATAAAATAATGGAAAAATATAATAAATATATACACTTAATAAATACACATATTTTTTTAAGTCATTTTAATATTGTACTTTAGTAGCACAATTTGTTGTGTAAACTATGAAAGATTTTGAAACTATATTTCTAAGATAGACTAGATTTCGAGAAGCATAAAAAATATATCTTACGTGACAAAAAATAGAAGTCTGCACATAGAAAATTAAAACATTCAACATTCCAATAACTTTTTAAAATGCAATGAACTTTTATTGTTTAATTTAAAACAATGCAAATTTTAATTTATTTGAATATTTTATTGATTTATTTAATTTGCTCAAAAGCTTAAGATGAACTCTGCAATATTGTAGTAAAGTCTAAGCCAATCCATTGATTCCCTTTAATAATTATTTGTGAATATGCATTTAAAGGATATTTTCTAGTCCTTAACACCTTTGCTCTTTCAACTCAATATAACTCTTGTTGTATTTGCTCTTAATGGCCGGCGTTGTTAATTGCGTGCCATAAATCTGTGTGCAGCAGTCGTCCTCGTCCTCGCCGTCGTCGCCGTCGTCAACCTCAACCTCAAACTGGAAACTGGCATTGCCAGTTTTTCCCATTTTCGTTCACACAACGCATATAGTCATTCGTATAGTCGTATATTTGTAGTTGCATAAATATATATATTTTATAACTCCCCGACCACCTTCTGCAAAAAGACAGCAACAAAGGAGTAAAGCAAACACGAGCAAATAACAAACAGACGAATGGCCAGACAAAGTAACATGTTACATGTAATTAATTTCAAATTATTTATACATGAACGCGCGTTGCCCGTAAAACTGAGCTAACAAATAAAAACAACAACACCGGCAGCAACAGCCAGGAAAAACTTTGGCTCAGCCTGCGGTGATGTTCGCACTATGCGTTGTGCTCAATTAAAGCCTGACCAAAGGGGCAGTCAATAAAAACTGTGAAATAGCCAAAGTCATAGTCATTCTCTGAGTTTGGCTTTCAGATGCTCTTGTAGATAATAAAACAAGGAGATGGATTGAAAGAAGTTGTCCAAATAAAACGTTAACATAGAATCATCCTTTACTCTACCTATATCCTTGACAACCTGCCCAAACACCTCTTTTATTCATTTTCATTTTACTATATTTTGAGAAGGCAGTGAAGAGATCAATTTTTCTAACCGAACCAACAAATAAACATCCTTTAAATATTTTAAATGTGCACTCTGTCATATTGTTATTTTTCCTCTCCTGCCTTAATACATCTTCGATCCCATAACTCTTATACTTTATCGTTCTCTACTAGCAGAATGTAGAATATTTACGAATACAATGCAAAAGAATAAAGAAAGGAAAATGAAAGATCATACAAAGATCAATTTTTCACTCGCTCTCTTTTCGTTTCCACTCCATTTGCCTCTCATCTTTCATTTTTAAAATCATTTTTTGTTTTGCATTCGTAAAGATTTTACAGGCAATCCTGATTAATGCCATATTTGGAAGACCCAGCTGGTACTCTTTGCATAATTGGTAAAATTTTTTTTGGATTATTATCAGATGACAAAGTATTCACTTAAATTTTCTGAATTCATATATTCGTTGGGTGTGACCAAATGTTTTTTTTTTTAATATATCCGACGTAATTATAAACAATATGCAGACGCATACACAAGAATATTATTTATATTTATTACCTGCCTTTATCTTTATTATCACCTCAACCGAGCTGGCATTTAAGCTTTGATTGTGACGCACGCCTTGCCGCAGCTAATATGCCCCTTCCCTTCTGAATCAGCATTCCCTCGTGTAGGGCATAAAATGGTAGCGTACAAGGTCGTAAAGTCGCAGAGCAGCGCCTTTTGGGGTTTTGGCTTGAGGTTCTGGTTTGGGTTTCGGTTTTCTCTGCGCCGCTTGCCCAGGCTTTGGTCTTCTTGGCTGTGACGAAAGACCGCAAAGTATTTATTTGTTAACTGGTTTAATGACAGCAGTGCCAAAGCAGTTACCACGCCTCTTTAGGGGTAGGGGGTGAGGCAGTGCCCCATAAAATGCGTGCGTACGCGCTTTGTGCCACAAATGCAATTGCTGTTTGTGTATATGTGTGTGCGTGTGTAAATCATAGCATTTTGGCTTTAAGCGTTAAACTGCGCAGCATTAACTGCCTTTTCCGCCCAGCAGGACATGCCAGCTCTCAGGTAGGAGCAGCAGCCGTCGGAGTAGGGCGGGGCCCACAGCACAGCAGCTGCGTTCCAATAAGCACATAATTGAATTCTGATCATAAATTTGCATTATGGCCGCGGTGCGCGGCGGTTTCTAGAGGCTTCACTGTGCTTTGCTTTGGGTTTGGCTGGGTTTTTGGCAGACCCAGCGATATAATTTTTGCTTTTTTTTTTTTTTGCTGCTATGCACGCAGCACGTGGCTTATAGCATAATTTTACCCAAAACGCACATTTCAGTTTTGGGCCCAGCGCCAGGAAAGATACTCGTAAAAACGTGCTGCATGTAAATAGTAAAAAAAAAAAAAAACAATAAGCGGGCAGCTGGATGGATGCCAGTGTAAGGTGTAGAGTAGGCTGGGTAGTGTATTGGGGAGGGGCATAAAATTCCACGATTTATGTCCGAAGCACCTAAATAACAATGGACATCGGTTCGATGGTCATTTGTGCACTCAGCGATGGGCTTGATAGGGTTATGAGTCAAGCCGAAATTAACGCAAACTTTTTAACTAGAAGCCAGCCGCCGGAAATATGTTTTGTTGCAGATTGTAGAACTGTTTAGTTTAGGAAAAGGTAATGGTATCAAACTACCAAAATAGCTGAAAAGCACTCGCTTCTATTGCTTTGGGCTAAGACAATATTACGTTCATACTCTAGTCTGGTATTTGAACCCTCATCCCAGTTGCCTAAATGACTAGGTCATCCAACAGGGAATACATCTAATTAAGGCTATTTTCTAGTTATAAAAGGGCTATTCTTACCAGTTCGTTTGAGGCACATACATATATTCACCATAATAAAATTTGAATCAGTTACTTAAAAAAATTTTTATTGCTATCACCTTTCATTAACTTTCTATTTTAACACTTTACTCAGTAAGAAATCATTGACAGATACACGGTTTTACAATAACTGGCTAAATTTCTGGAAAATTGACAGCCTTTATTTGTGTAGAATTAAACAACTAGTTGACATTCGCCAGCTTGACTCAATATTGATCTTAACAGAAACAAGTTGACAGGTTCACTCACAGAAAATACCTTGGCATTTCCAGTTAACATTTCTTATTGCGAAAAACGAGATCTCAGTACGAATAGTCTAGATAGTTCTTTCTTGAAAAAATTGATTTAACAACAAAGAACACAAGTTTACAATTTCAATCAGCCAAACAAGTTGACAGGCTTAGTTATGACCAAATTTTATCTTACGCAACTTTCCACAGAAATGCATACTTTTTTTTTTTACCAAATTAGCAGCCATTTCTAGTTGCAAACAAAATAAAAAGCAAACAAGTTGGCAGCTCTACTTAAGTTATTAATTAGACAAAGAAGTTAACAAGCCTAGTAAAGAGTTGTTCTTACTGTAAACAAATTGGCAGCTACGCATTAAGAGTTTTGAATACAGAAGTTGGCACTTCCACTCAGCACAAGTTGGCATAACTACTTTAAGGATACCTTCAAATATTAAACTAGTTGGCAGCCTGCACTTAAAAGTTACTTGTTCAACGAAGCCAAGTTGACAGCTCCTCAGCCACATTAGTGTAATTAAGTAATCAGCATTTGGTTACGAATCCTTGGTCCCTTTGAGATAACTCGTGAAGTCCCTTGTCTGAAGGACTTTTCCTGCTCCTTAACTAGCAATGCTTGCTTTTTGTGAATGTGTATTCGAAATGTGATGTGTCCATCGAATCCATTGAGTGTTGTTATTCAAATATGCAGATGCCTACAGTTACCACGCACTCTCTCTCTATCTCAGCAGCTGCTTATTCCCAAAACACACACACATACACACACTCGAGCCATGCTGTTATTTATATTTTCATTTTCAAGCACCTGCAGCTATGTAAGACACATGCTTAAAACATTTTATTGCCAGACATATTTATATACTAGATTTATCTAATTGTTTATTAATATCTTGACTTGCGGCTAACAGAAACAAAAACAAGCAGCGCTTACGTACATATTTCCTGTGCGAGTCAGTCAATATTTCTATCTATCTATCTGTCTATATATAGATATATAAATAATGTGCGCCCATTTAAGGGGCGTGTTCATACATTTCGCATTGATTGTTTTCAATATCGTACAACAAATGTGCCTGTCAAAAATTAATCACTTGCACTTAGTAGTAAACACACTCACACACACGCACACACGCACACACGCACACACACACACATAGACAATGCCTGTTACACGCATTTATAATTGAATTTGGCTTTTGTAGTTGTTGTTGCTGCTGTTGTCGTTGTTGTTGTCGTTGTTGTCGTTGTTGTTGTCGTTGTTGTTGCTGTTGTTTTGACGCTCTCTGTCCAACTTGGCAGCTCGGCAATCGATAGGCGGGCGATGCGCGCTGTGCCATGCCTGACAGTTGGCAACTGGCAGCACGCAATTTATTTTCATTTCTCTAATAGACTTATTTAGACACACACCCACACGCACACACACTAGCTCACACAGACACACACAAACACACGCACCTATACAACGCTGGCTGCCAATACGCTTGTGTTTCGTGATAAATTATTTGTAATTTATTAATTTATTTATTAATTTCGCCGTCTGTTTTGTTTTGCCTGTCTGCATCGCTGCTTCTCTCTGTATATTTGTGTGTGTGTGTAATTCTTTATGCTCTTATTAGGGCATATTTGAACTCTGTTAACAATATTACACGGCAAGCAGCTTACTTCGAAGCCCAATAACTTCATAAAATACTCGTTAGCTCATTTCGGAAATTTCATATAATTGACTGCCCAGAAAATTTCCAATATGTGAGCTTTAATATTGTAATTATAAAATTATTTTGAAATTTTAAAAAACCCGAATAAAACCTACTAATAAAAGAGTTCTTTATTCATAAAATAATTTAAAATAAATCAATAAATATATTAAATAAATAAATGGATTCAAATCAAATATAGAGAAAATTCATAAGATCCTATACTGTTTATTTGGATTATGGAAACATTTACAACATTTACAAACCTTTACAACAGTTATAGATATTATTCTGTTTTATTCACTTTTTGGTAGAAGTCAATCGGATCATTCAACAAAGATCCGTATTTGATTTCTAGACTAGAGTAAAGAAATATATCTTAACCGATGTTAAAAAACATTGAAAATCTGGAAAAGTAGTCCAATCACTTCCTAGGGTATATTAAATTTGTTTCGAATTTTCTTATCTATTTTCCTTTTCCATTTGGCTTTAACTTTTTGCCTTACTTTGGTAGCTCATTAATAAGGTCAGCAACAAGGCGAAGGTGTTTATGCCTCACACTGTCTTAACTTGTTTTTCTTATGATTTTTTTTTTTATTTTTTATTGCATGCTACCCGGCGTTTAATGGCCCCCTCGCATGCGAGTTGCTAGTTGTCAGGCTTGTGTTGACAATATAAATGGTTTTCCAATGATTTATTGTTGCATTAGAACGCATTAGGCGACGACTGGCAGCAGCAGCAGCCAGTGGACAGTGGACAGTGGACAGTGGACAGTGGACAGTGGACAGTGGACAGTGGACAGTGGACAGTGGACAGTCTACAGTTGACAGTGGACAGTAGACTGGGCATTGGGTGATTCTGACTTACCCATTCTAGCCCCGCATCCCGTCCAGATATTTGTTTCAGTGTGCAGTCAGTGGAAATGCATAAAAATGAATCATAAGTTTAAAAATTTATAAAATGCGCCAGGGCATAACTGCCAGACAAGGAACTAGTGCCCAGAATGGGGCCTGAAGTAGGCGTGGCAATACGCCATTTGCAACAGTTCTTGCAACATTTTACTGCGCAGACAGACGAGGCAGCATTATCAAATGTCTACGACAAGAAAAAAAATTAAATTAAATTGTAGTGAGTAGTCCGGACGGCAGGCAGGAAGGCAGAAAGTCTTGGCGAGTGGGGTTATTTCTCCGAGTCGAAAAGAAGCAGCAAAAATAGTAATAGAAGATGAGAGCTGCTGCATTGCTATATGTTAAAATCGTCTTCGACAGGCACATGGGCTGCCTGGACAGCGAAATTGAAACCCCGGCATCTAAGACGATGCCCATCTTCCGGGCTGCCGCTCGAACAACCTTCGTAATGCAAACTTAATAAGATGTACGCCACCCTCCCGCTCAGTCCCCCATACCCCTCCCTCCGCCCTCGCTGTGCATGTCGTCTGTCAGTGGATACACATGCAACTATCACGACTGCACTGTCAGTTAGACAAACAGGGCAGTAGAAGAAGAAGCAGCTATTGCCATACCACATCCACTTTCGTCAGTTTTGCCATCAGTTTATCTGTCTCCGTGCCAGAGAAAGATAGACAGATAGAGAGACAGGCAGGGAGAGGGAGAGAGAGGGAGAGGGAGAGCGAGACAGACGAGATAGCGAGCGGACAGCCCGAAGAGTCAGCGAATTTGTTGCTCCTGCCAAGTTGTTGCCATATAACTGTAATCAGTAAACATTTTATGGTCGCAACTGTACTGCATTTTGTATTAGACATCATGATGTGACTGGATGGATACTGGTTCACATATTGCCCAAACAATGCCAACGTGCTTTCTGACAAATATTGCCCGAAGCATGGCAAACTTCTTCTCAAGCAGACAGTTTCAGTCAGATTCTTAAACTCTATTGATCAGAAGAAAAACAAACTTTTGTTGATACTTCTAGAGTAACAAAAAAAAAACTTAAATTTCTTAAGAAACAAATCATTTTTCTTTAAATGGTTCCCTCTAAGAAGATTAAATTGGAATTCGGAGAAAACTTGGTAGCTCGGAACATTTGTTATCAAAAATCCACCCTTTTTATAGGCATGGCTTAGTTAGGTTAAGGTTCAACCCTATTGATGGAAGCCGAAAAGTTTGACATCATGGAATATATTTAATCAATGATAATATTATGATATTACTATACTAATAAATAATAATTAATAATAATAATTAATAATTAATAATTAATAATAATAATTAATAATTATGTGTAATAAACACAGTTCGGGTTCAAGTTTAGGTTCAGCTGTGCCGAAGACAAAGTGCAGTAAGAGTTTCCAAAATTTCAAAAACTTAAGTGCAGCTTCAACTCGGCAACATATTTATTGTCATAACTGTCATAAAATCATTAAAATAAATATGCAAGCTATTGAGCTCTAATGCTGTATAGAACAACAACTCATTGCGTAGATTTGTTCTGCTTCTATGGCGCACATGAAAGTCAACTTCAGTTCATGATTCCACTTATGCTTACATTGTGCTTCTCTCTGTATCTATTGTAAGCCGGTCCATCATTCTTCAGTTATTCACAATCAATTTGGTCCCAGACATATACATACGTAACTATTAACTGCTATCATTACGGGCTACTTGGCCAGTCCTTGAGCTCCACTCACAGGACCCTTCTCTGCGTTTCAATTGTTTGCTGCAAGCGAAGTCTGTCTAAGTGCGATATACGATATACCATGACAGGGCTGAGCAGCTGAGGAGCGGAGCGACAGCAATTAGGCAAACGTTGGCCCTTCATTAGGCTGATCAATGGCCTGCTTGATGTCACTTCTAGGCAGGAAAAGGGTTTGGGGTGAAGAGCGATTGCCACATGTGGCACATCCTTTTCTGCCAAGAGGAAGTGTTGACTGGCCACAAATTTGCCGGCGTCTTGCGGATGCAACTTTGTTATATCTTCATGCTTCGCTTTCTCTCTCCCTCTCCCTCTCTCTCTCTCTGCTTCTTGCTTGAGTTTATTCTCTTTTTTTTGTGCCTGCCGCCGGCACTTGCGGCTTTATTGTTGGCATTGTCTAACATCTTCAGCAAGTTGCCTTTTTTTCTGGCTGCTGCCACTAAAAAAAACGGCTATTTACTCTGCTTGTAGTTGCCGCAGGCGTCGCTGCCTTGTCGCATACTTTTCACTCTATCCAGCCAACACGTT